AGGAAGGAAGGAAGGAAGGAAGGAAGGAAGGAAGGAAGGAAGGAAGGAAGGAAGGGCTAACATGGCTATCCAGCCTTCCTTTTTCTGTTGTCCTAGCAGCAGACCCTCCAGCCCTTTTCCTCCAGGGCTTTCTGGTGGCATCCCTGGACAGATCTTCTGGGATGTGTCCTGCTGACATGGATCTGTTCTTTGTTCCAGGGAGATACCATGGTATAAGGTGGTGCTTGGGATCAACCGGATCTCCAGCCCTGGTCCTGATGCCCAGAAAAGTTTGATCAAGAGGGTGATCAACCACCAGCTATACCAGAACGAACTGAACAAGACAGGTGGAGGGATAAAACACGACATTTCCTTGGTGGAGCTGGCAGAGCCGGTCAGCTGCAGTGACTACATACAGCCAGCTTGTTTGCCAGATAAGAGTGTGACGGTTTCAAAGCTCGTCCAATGCTCCATCAGTGGCTGGGGAACCATGGAAGTGAAAAGTGAGACCTGGGGAAAGGGGGCCCTCAGAACAGCTGGCCTGGCGTAGGGGCCTAGAGTCAATGGGTCTCCTGCATCTCCAACGGGGAGCAGTATCCCCAGGGGGACTTGCAACTGAGCATTATTCTCTCCTGCTTGAAAATAATGAGAACAAAGCGTGAAGACCCGCAAAGAGTCTCCACACTGGGGAAGGCGGGGGAAATGGGTATTAAGATGGCAAACGTGGCTCCGTGCAAGCAAGCACTGAGTGATGCACATGGGGAAGGAGAACCCTGACTTCGCATCTCTGTGGAAGGAGTTGTAGGGGGCTGTCACTGGCCAGGAAAGGGCCTTAGGATGGAGGTGGCGACGGTGGTGGGGTGTCAGGCCAAGATTCCCTGGAACGGAGCTTGATGCGTGGATACGCCAGTATCATTCTCTTGGCTGTAATATGGAAGGGGCATGCCCTTGCCTTTCCTGACCTCCCAGCCTGCTCTCCTTTCCAAGGCCCAGCTGAGTCTGACCCTGCCTGGCCTTTCCGACAGCCGTCAAGGACGGCTGCTACGAGCCCAAAGCCCAGAGGGTCCTCCGTGCGTGACTGCTTTCAAAGGGCAGGTTTCTTGCTGCGAGATCTTTAAGGGGGTTGAAAATAAGATCGCCTGTGTTGCAACGTCTCTGGTGGGACTCTGCTTGGAAAGCTGTACCCCATTTCGGTCACTGGACCTCAAAAAGGGCATGGTGGAGCGGGAGAAGGTGCAGGAAAGGGCTATCAAAGTGATCTGAAAGAAGGAGAACCGTGGTGGGGGCTCTTTTGTCCCGAGCACAGAAGTGCTTATGAAGTCAAAAAAGTCAAGACGGCAGCCACGACTGTGGGACCAAAATTCTGCCCCTTTTTAATGTGGATCCACACATTTGTGGATCGTCTTAAGGAACTCAGGCTGGTAAAGCTGGATTTGCCTGGGCAGAATCCATGCTGATTTCCCCCTTAAGTTCTTCGTTATTTTTTCTTTTCCTTATTATTTCTACCAATTCATCTGGGACAAAGCTTAAGCTGGACTGGCCTTTAATTTCTCAGATCTCCTCTGAGTCCCTTTGTAGAGATCCATACCATATTGGCTGCCTGAATTTGAGAAAGGTCACAGTACATTTGTTGATTTAGAGAAAGCATGCGGTAAATGGCTGCAGTTGTGGAAAATTTTGCATGAGCATGGAGTTGAAGGTTGCTGGCTGATGTGATAAGAAGTGTGTGTGTGTGTGTATGTGTGTGTGTGTGTGTCTTTGAGTCAGTCTTGACTTGCAATTTTTTGGCAACGTTTTGGGAAGTAGTTTGTCACTGCCTCCTTCCTAGGGCTGAGAGAAAGTGACTGGCCCAAAGTCACCCAGCTGGCTTCATGCCCAAGGCAGGAATAGAACTCACCATCTCCTGGTTTCTACCCCAGTGTCTTTAACCACTCTACCACGCTGGGTCTCTGATGAGAACATTATATGACAGAAATAAGGCTTCTATGGGAATAAATGGGAGGCTTGGTGAATGGTTCAGTGCTGAGCAGGTAGTACGGCCTGTATGCATGATGTCAGCTGTGGAATGTTATTTATATATAAATGTATAAGAGATGCTTATGCTGATGTTAGAGATATGTTTGTTGGGGATGTGAACTTACATGGACCTCTCTGTTAAGACAATCCAGTGCTCTTACTCAGTCTTCTCCAATGAAGAACGTTTGGTTGAGCAACGGAGCCAAGGACTTCTTAGCTATGGAGTCCATGTTAGTCCTTGCCCAGGGAGCTTCAAGAAACAAAGCCCCTAATTATGCACAGCTCCCCAAATGTTCGTTTGCAATGTTGGTGGAGCAACCCTTGTCTGATTTATCACTGTATTTCATACCAACTTTGGTTTCTGCACAGGCCAGTTGGAACCACCCACCTGAAGGAAAGAGTGGAGGCCATGGGATTTCCATGATTTGCAACTGCTCACCCTCTCCCCCAGGATAAACCATGCCAAAACTGAGCAGCATTAATCCCCAGCACCCATTTTTCAGACCAGCGCCCATGCCTGATCAGGTTGCTGCCTCCTGGTGGGGAAGGATCTAGAACTGAGGTCCTCAGTCAGTGGTCCTGATGTTTCTCTGAGGTCTACCCATGAATCCTTGGCGATGGGAGAAATGCACACTGGCGATTTCTTCTGACTTCTATTCACAGCAAAAAGACAGCCAGACGTTTTGCAGGAGGGGGTTGTTAAACTCATACCCCACCAAACATGCAGCAGCAAGTTCTGGTGGAACACGCGTATCCGTGCTGAGAACCTATGCGCTGGACATGAGAAAGGAGATATCACTACCTGTCAGGTAAGTGGATCCAGGTTGGAGGCTTCGTTTGGCCCTCTTTCTTTCAGTGCTTCAGCGATTGTTAGAAAGGTAGCAAATCCCTAGTATCTCCACCTGCTATGTCTTCCTCCACTGAGTTACTTCCATATACAAGGAATTGCTTCCTTGAAGTTCTGAGGGCACGAATGAAGGCCTGCTGGAAACACGCACCACTGCTCTCCACTAGCTCTACTCAAATGGTACCTTCTGAGGAGAAAGGCCCTAGTTCTTTTACAGAGCACTCACTCTGCCCTCAGAAAGTACCAGGTTCGATTGTTGGTGATGGAGCAAAGGGATCAAAGCAGGGGATGAAAAAGCAATCTAAGCAGGTGATGACTTGGATTGAGATGGATGGCTATAGAAATTGCATAAATAAAGAAATAAAGAAATAAAATCCCTACCTGTGGGTTAGAAATGCCACCCTCTATCTGAATGGGATGGAGGTGAGTTAGCTTGGCCCAAAGCTTGTTCTGCTTTGATGCCTTGACAGCATTGGCTGGAACTTCTTTGGGTCACTTTTGGCCATCTTGATCATGGGCTGGGAAGTGTTCTATCCTGTTCCGTAGGCACTCCAAAGGGAGTGTCCCAGGATTGTCCCAGGCTAAGAATGACTGAGCTAATATTTCTTTGGACTTCCTTATTTATACCCTCGTGATGTGGTGATGTGATTGTGGTGAGGGAGTCCTTGCTTGTGCATGCTCTCAACTGAGCCCATGCTTGGCCCATGCCCCTCTTAGATGCTTGGCTCCCTGCTAAACCCAGCATCCTCCCCCCATCTCAGTGCCTCCTGCCTTCATCTGCCCCTTCTCCCAGTTCTGCGCTCACCTCCTGTTGAATGGCAAAGACAGATCTAGTGAAGAGCTGCTCTCCCAGGAGAGTAGATGCCTGGACCGAAGGAGGAGGAAAGGGCTATCGTTCATGGCATTGGGTTGATGCCTTGACTGACTGAATAATGCCAGGGATTTGGGAGGGGGGGAGTAAGGAGAAAACTCTCTCTTTCCTCAGTTGTTGTTGTTCAGTTGTTAAGTTGTGTCCGACTCTTCGTGACCCCATGAACCATATCATGCCAGGCCTTCCGGTCCTTCACTGCCTCCCTGAGTTTGCTTTCCTCAGAAGAGCCATCAAATGATGGCCTCCAAGGGAAGATGGCCTTTCATGATGGTTTGGTCGAGCAGAGAGAATGGCTGTAGCTCAGAAAGTTGTCCTTGTGCAAGTTCTACCTCATGAGGCACAGGACATGATTAAAATAAAATACTAGGCTGTGGCCTGGCATATCGTGGTAAGGCAAGTATTGATTAAAGTGAGATACTCAGGCTGAGATGCACGTCATCCAGACTCCCACCCCACCCCCTCCTGATGTTTTAGGCCACCTGCAGAGCACCAAGATCGTCTCTGTCCATTCACTAAATTGGTGACCCAGATGCAAAAGTCCCATCCAAGACTTCAGGGCAGCACCCATTTCAGTCATTTGGACCCTTGGCAGTTGGTTTTCCTCTCCTCCTCCTTCTGAAGGTCAGACTGACCTTTCCTGAAAACTTCCCCCAAGGGAGGTTCGACATGCTTGACCTCTCACCTTCTTCTCAGTGGCAAGTGTTGCCCACCCTGACCATAAATAATCCATTAATGGTGCCCTTCTGCTGAGAGTTACCAAATGCCCCTTGGCTCTTGGTGGCAATGTCCTCCTGCTTGACAGGCTGTGGCTCTGCTTTCCCACCACTGGGCAGCTCCTGGGCAGCCCCAAGCATGACTGTCAAGGACTTCTTCAGGAGCTCACATCTCCTCGCTAAAATGTTTTCAATTGTGGCACTGAACGTTAATGGAATAAGTCATGGGTGTGGGAGAATCAAATCACAATAAATGATACTCTCTTCATTGCCGCCTTTTTCCCTTCTTGCTTTAGGGTGACAGCGGAGGGCCCCTCATGTGTAGGGAGGAAAGGTCTGAGCGGTACTGGGTTGTTGGAGTCACCAGCTGGGGACCACAGGACTGTGTTGGACTTCAGAAGCCAGGTGTCTTCACCGCCACACAACACTATGTTGACTGGATCACAAGGATGACCAAGGAGAATCTTTTCCAAGCTAGCCACCAGCCACTCTTGGCTCAGGTCTGGCCCCCTGCAAAGCCACTGCCAACATCCCCAATCCAACCCAGCACCCAAAATGTGATGTGGGGGGGTCCCAAGCCTCCTCCCCTGCCCATCCTCACACCTGGGCCCAGGCCTCCACCTTTCCCTCAGCTCACACCTGGGCCCAGGCCTCCACCTTGCCCTCAGCTCACACCTGGGCCCAGGCCTCCACCTTGCCCTCAGCTCACACCTGGGCCCAGGCCTCCACCTTGCCCTCAGCTCACACCTGGGCCCAGGCCTCCACCTTGCCCTCAGCTCACACCTGGGCCCAGGCCTCCACCTTGCCCTCAGCTCACACCTGGGCCCAGGCCTCCACCTTGCCCTCAGCTCACACCTGGGCCCAGGCCTCCACCTTGCCCTCAGCTCACACCTGGGCCCAGGCCTCCACCTTGCCCTCAGCTCACACCTGGGCCCAGGCCTCCACCTTGCCCTCAGCTCACACCTGGGCCCAGGCCTCCACCTTTCCCTCAGCTCACACCTGGGCCCAGGCCTCCTCCTGTGACGAGGCCCACACAATGGAACATGTCTCCAGGGACAAAATGGGGCATCAGAAGAACCTATCCTGCTCATCGTCCCTGGACAGGGCCTGTGATATGGGGTCTCACACGACCTTTCTGGACAAGTCCCAGAAAACGGTATCATAGGAAAAGGCCCTTAGGTTGGTCCTCACGTCAAACCCAACTGCAGCAAAACCAAAGAATATCACCCCCTGGTTATTATATTTCTTATAGCTGGAATCCAGGGTTTGCCCAGCCTGGCAGTCAGTCCCCGATGCCGTTGCCCCCCAGAGGCCCCCCTCTACATTGAGAGAAGCAAGACCGCCGGGGGAACAGAAAGGAAGAGGCTCCTGCTGATAACGGCCTGGTCCCCATCCTTGTTTTGCCCTAAACCAAATGTCATTTCTTCCACTTTGATCCCCATTCCCAACCCCTTGTTCTTCCAACATCCTGGTTGAAATTAGGAAATCTTGCAACACTGACTTCACCTTCTTATAACTAACTTTCCTTGTAATTTCTCATAGGACCTTATTTATACTTGGTTCTTTAAAGTGCACTTTGAAATAAAGTTTAAAATTAATATCAGACATGTGGAAATGTTTGCTGCCTGAATTTAGGATTACAGACTGGAAAATTACCCTCTTCAGGTTTACATAAAAAATGTGCCTCCATGAATTAGGGGAATGAGTTTGGATTAAAAAAAAAGCAGTTCCGTTTTCCCCAAAAATAAGTTCAAGCCAACGAGCAGCTGGGTGAATGTTAATGGTGCACGGACATTGGAGGCGGCGTTGTCCTTCCTCTCAACAGTGGAGAGGTCCGCCTTCTCTGCACAGGAGAGCCTTTTAGATATTTGTAGACTGTTGTTATGTTTCTCCTCTACCTTCTGTTCTGCAAGCTAAACATACCTCTATCCTTTCACCATTCCTCGTGGGGCTGGGTTCCCATACCCTTTCTCACCTTGCAGCCCTCCTCTGAACCTGCTCCCATTTCTTTTCATTCTTTGTAAATGTAGAGCCATAACTGGGCACAGTCCTCAAGAGTGGTCCGCTCATCCAGAACCCAGTGCAATCATTCCCTCCTGTGATCCGGAAGCAATGCTTCTGTTAAGGCAGCTGAAGAACCACTGTGAACATCCCATTTCTCATGTTACTCCTCAGTTAGCAACCCAGAAAGTGGAAAGCATCAGCGACTTCCTTAGCCAGTATACTCAAGTTGGAGTGAGGAACCCCTGGCCCCAAAGAGCTCGATGAATTCCAGCACCCACCATCCCTCACTCTTAGCCATGCTGGCTTGGGCTCCCCAGAGATCTAATTCAGCAACATCTGGCAGGCCATCGGCCTCCCGTAGAGGGGCTGCAGAAAATCAGCAACCGAGAGATGGCAACAAAGAGTTAACATTTTTGTTTCTCTTTGCCATTATCTAGCGGTGGTCCAAAGATTGGCAGCCCACTTTTGTAGGCCCTGGTGCAAGAAGCTTTTGGGAAGTGGATGCTCTGTCTCTGCATCTGGAGAATGTTAGAAGCAGCAAGCCCGAGTTGGGAGCCTTTGCAGGTCACTCCCTCAGTAGCCCCTGAGTGGGAGGACCTGGGCTCAGCTGGCAGAAATGGGAGCTCTGCGATGGACCTTATTGGAAGCAGGCGAGGAAAACGCACAGCAGGCTGCATGTCCAATTTGCTTAGAAGCTTTCCCAGAGCAAACCAGCAATAAGCAGACCCTCTCTCCATTTTGTCAAAAGGGAAACCGGCAGACAGACAGAATGGTGCAAAACAGCTTCCTAGCAACTGGGCGACACTGTGTCCATCCTGCTTCTACAGAAGCATCTTGCAGGTCACCATTTCCCCTGTAGCTTGCTTCTTGCCCAGATCTCCTATTGTTGCTGATCCACGCCCAGGTAGGGCTGCCGTGAGACCAGACGCCAAAACCAGGGTCCCTGCAATTGACCTTCTAAAGCAAACAGCAGCAAAGAACTGTGGTTCTTCAGTGTGATGTCATACTGGCTGTTTGCTGATTGGCTGGGGCCTGAAAGGACAGTTTGTGATGTCACGAGCCACGGGAGCAGGAGGTGGGACCTGACATTTGTTGAGCGATGTAGGATGAAGCAGCAGCTGCTGCTGCTCCTTTGGGCACTTGAGGTGTTCTGTTTCTCGTATGATGATGACGACACTTGCACGTAAGCAACGGCCACAGCCGGGGGGAAACGTCATGGAGGGGGTGGCTCCATTGGCAGCGCTTTGTCATCCTGGTGGTGTGGGGCCTCCATGCTCAGCTGGAGTGTGCTTGATGGGTGTTACAGGGTCAAAGGTGGGTAGGGAAAGCAACAGCAAGAGCTATGCTCTTGAGGCCCTGCTGGGGGTCACTCCGGAAGCTTCCAGTCTGCCATGGCTGGACACCGGAGGAGGAAGAAGAGGAGGAAATGAACTGGTGCTCCCCCCCTGCCATTTCAAACCCTTCATTCAGTTTGATAAAAGAGAACTTTCTCCTGAAATGTCTTCTGAGAAGAACATCTTGGTGAAATATTCATGAATGAGACATGGGATCCACATATATGTTTCCTGAAGAAGTGGCCAGGACTGGGGATGTCTTCCAATGGCCAACCTTCTCTGCAAAGGTCCCAAAGGAGCTTCCCTATATTGGGAAGTGGTCCAGAGGTCAGGGATGTTCCAGAGCTACAGAAAGAGGTTTAATAGGAAAGTAAGACCATCAGGAGCACTCTTGGCCACCTCTGACAAGAAAGCCCATTCAAAACCACTCCCAAGAGAAATTTGAAAGAAATTATCCATCTTCTTCCTCCTCCTCCTCGGAAGAAAATACTCCTAAGAAAGATCTTCGTCCCTTTCCAGGACAAATACCCCACCTTGGCCTGAACCAGCACAGCTTCTCATATGTTCTTTCAGACTGAATAGCCTATCTGGGGGTTAGGAAAGAGGAAATGGAGCCCTGCTGCTCCACTCGTGACCTCTTATTTGGACCGAAAAGATGCCATGAAGCTACATCTTTTCTCTGAGGAACGCATTCATGGGCCATCCGTCTTGCAACCCTGGTACAAGTGCCCTTCTACTCATGCCCATAGGCTGGGTTCATGCAACCTACCTAACCCAGGTTAAGGTAACAGCATTGCTAAACAAGGGAGCCATATGTTTAGCTGGCTGATTTTCAATTGCTCTTGCTTTTAATTTATTTCTTTATGCTTAGTTTGCATTTATTGTATTTGTATTTTTAAAAAACCCATTAGCTTTCTTGAGTGGTTGAGGAATAATGGATAAAGTAAGATATGATACTTCCCCCATGTGGTCTGTGAAATTATCTTCTGGAACTTACTGACATCGGATGTGTTGATGGTCACCAATTTAGCAGGGCCTGAAAATAAATATTATGCTTGTTCACAGAAGGAAGATTTTGCCATTTTTAACCTCCACAATTGAAACGAGAACCTTAAATTCAGAAGGTGGCCACATGTCCTGCTTGGGCCTTCTCAGATGCAAGCATTGGCTGCCGTTGGAGGCAGAACATGGGTCCAGATAGCCTTGGCTGAGCTCTTATGT